AGACGTCACATTTCTGCGACTGACGTCTCTACATCAAGGTTTTTTGGAAAATTAAATAAGATAATGGATTTGACAATTAAACAGTCGTTAGAGACCGAAAATCCAATTTTTCAGTTGTGAAGATACTGTTCTTTTCCTTCTTTGACTTCTGGCTCAATGATTGATTAACCAAGACAATTTGACGGATTAATTGTTGATGTAAACAAACATTAGCTGAAGCCGTGATTAACATGTCGATCAAAATTATTATTATCAGTCCAGTCAATCAATCTTTTCATCGATTCCACCAATCGATTCATCAAATGATGAATTTGCAGATGGAAGAAATGATTGTTTCAAGGAAAAATGTCAGTTCCACCTTCTCAGTTCTGGAGATTCTGTTTGTTTCTTTGTCTTTCGGCTGAATGTTTAATTAGTCACCGAGGTGTTTGCTGCATCGGTTGAAACCTCGAGCAATTCGTCCATATCCTCTCCTCGTATCCTCTCCTAGAACAACTTCCCATTCAGCCTGTTAAACAAACACAGCAGGTTTTTAAATTCAGCCCTCGCCCACTTGTGCAGGTCATTTCAGTTCATCTGCTTAAATTCATGTTCAGTTTAAAATCAAAGCCGTTGTTAAAAAGTCTCGCAAACCGTCACAGGAAGCTGTTTAACTCAACTGGGAACACTTTGCTTTATTGGGTTTCCACCATCAGACCAGACAGTCAATCAATCTCCAACCGTGCTCCGTCTCTGACCGACTGACTGACGGAGTGTAACTGGGCGTGAGAGGAAACGCATGGCCGACCAAGCGTCGTGCCCCCGTCGAGGGTGCATGCATGTGTCCGTCAAGTGTGCGGCCAATTTGTGTATTTATTTGAGTGTCCAGGGAGAAAAGGGTGAAGGCTGAGCGAGCGCGGGTCGGCGGAAATCTCTTGTTACGGTTACACACTGAGGCTCTTTTGTGTTGTTGTGCGGGGGTCGTGCCTTTGGGCCGCTTCGCCACAGATCGAGGTTTTGGTCTCAGCCTCTGTGTTGCTGCGGGCCAGAGGAGTCAACGATGCCTTTTCAAGAACAAGAGAAGTATGAATCCCTCCGGATCCCCGTGTACATTGACCACGTGGATCGTGTTTGTCGAGCTCGGCCTCTGGCTATTCTCACTCAGCCCCTCAGGAGCTTCCCTCAGAATGAACGCCGCCTGTCCATTTCTCGCCGAATTGCCGACAGCACCTGCTTAACAACTGCATTTACCGCCGCGCCAGCTGTGTCTGGACTTATCTGGCTTTGCAACACAGATGTAAATGCTTTTTAAAAATGTTCTTTTTAGCGAGCAGCTTCCCTGAAGGGATGGGACGTGTTTCAAGGACATCGCAGGAAGCAAAAAAAAAAGAAGAGCAGCTTCACTTTTAATACTAACCAGCCAATATCCCCCTCCAATCAACGTAATTATCACCCTCTGACAGTTTGCTTTTAATGTCACACGAGCAATATTTTGAGTAAAGTGCCACCATTTACTCAGTGACATGCACTGACAAGTGAGGGTGACATGCAGTGGAAGCTTTTGTGCTCCTGGAATACGCAGCGCTCCTTTTTTAAAGGCTTTTGTTTTTCCTCACATCTACATTTTCAGTCCTGTCACTGCGCCCTCAACTTTCTTATTCTCATTCAAATCTGCTGCCGCACTTAACGCCGCATCCATGAGTCACTTTCCTCGAGTCGGCGTTGTCTAATTTCTGAAGGGGCCGTCCTGTGGCGTGACAAATGTGATGCGGCAGCGGAGAGTCACAGCTTGAAGTTTGCTGTTAAGTTTTATTGTTGCAGGACAGGAAGCTGTTTATTGCTTCTAGGAAAAATATTCCCTCGTTTGTGATTGAAATAAAAACATCCGTCACGCAGAGATGATTACTCAGCAGCTGCAGCAGGAAAGCTGGTGTGATGTGATTAGAAACCCCAAAAAACTTGAGCTCGGCTAATGGAGGCAACGGAGACCAAACACACTTGATCGTATGTAAGTGCAGTAAATGTAGAACGATATTGATTCAACCGCTAAACATGAAGTTAAAGGTTCATCCTGTTATATTTAAAGAAACTACATCATCATACAGATATCAAATATTACAAGAAAATAGATTATATTTATTCAACAAATAAATAAAGATATATTATATTCATTGTTTGTACAATATTTTTCTGATTTAATACATTTATCTTGTTGGCCTCTGAATAAAAGAAAATGTCTGTTCCTCGTTAAGCTCTAGATTGAGTCTTGAGAAGTTTTGTTTTGTTCGACCAACAAGTTAAAAATACAAAGATACTCAATTTATAACTCGAATGTCACAGAAGAGCTCAACCTTCCAGCAAAGCTCTAGATTTCACACACTCATCAGATTTGTATTTTCATCAAGATCAACGAATTATTCTGGAACCAAATCCGAATTTAACAACTTCTTTTTCTTCAGCCATGTCTCATCCTTTCAGAAGTTATAACATAATCCTGCCGATAAACCAACGGACAGGCGTGAAAACAAAGCAGAGGTTTGTCCCAATTCCAGAAAGTTTTAAATCAGGTCATGAAAAAGTTGGATAGATAGTTAGAGATACATTTTCCGTTAAACAACTTGTCACCTTTCAGGGGTCAGGACGACAAACTGAGCCTGAGCGAGTGGCGTCCTGCTCATTTAACGAGGGCGTCTGTGAACTTGACGAGACGAGGGGCTCCTCATCTCCTAACACCTTGTTGCAGGTTCACTGGAATCTGTAACTTTACTCTTTTAATCCTGAAGTGAGAAGACGCAGCAGAGAAAGTTGTGACAGTTTGGGGTCGCTGTGCAGTGACTCGACTTCAAGTGAAACAGCTGAGCACGCACGCAAACAGCTGCAGACCTGTTATGTTGCCACGAGCCTCATGAGACACTGGATGCACTTATTTAATCGTAATAATAACTTCCAACCAAAGAGCTGTGAGTTTTGAGGGTTTATTTATAAAAACCTGCTTCGAGTTGTTGGTGTAAATTGATCGATGATGCTCACTGGAACTTTTAAATTAATATATTTATGTATTAACACAACACTAACATGTATTCTCAAGATGTGAAGATTATTCCCTCTACGGAATAATATCCAATTATCAATTAACCTTTTGAAGCATTTTTATTAATCAAGACAGTTGCCGATTAATTGTTAATTCAGTTATGATATATTTACCACATATCTATCAGTTCCTGCGCCCCTGCTGGACAGTTTGTGTTTGCTCTAATCAGAACTACATTCTCTCCTGCTCGTGTTGGATCACGTTTCTGTTTCTCTGTGGCAACGACCCACCACTTTTCCCAGCGGGATCATTAATGTTTCATTCTTATCGTGGCTGATCCAATGTGTCGGATTCACCTCGTGTCTTTTCCTAAGTGTGGGATCGGGCTCGGTGTGTGACTGTGGCCGGTTCCTGCAGTGACTCACGGTGGTTCCTCCACAGGACTCTGATGTATATGATGCATATTTAATAGGGTATCCTTTCCAGCTAAACTCACCCATTAGGATGAGTTTCCGTTACAGCTCATTTCGGCCCTGATCTTTCTTCCTCTCTCTGTGTGTGTGTGTGTGTGTGTGTGTGTGTCTGTGTGTGTGTGTGTGAGTGAGTGAAACCCCTGCCTCCGCCCTCACACACCATCCTGCCCTTTGCTTATCTGCTGATAATCAATCTTTCCTGGTCCTGGTGTCATTTGTCTAATGTTCTTCATGGGCCTTTACTGTAAAGGACTTGTTTAAATCACACTGCACCACTTACAATTCAACTCTCCCTCTCTCTCTCTCTCTCTCTCTCTCTCTCTCACACACACACACACACACACACAGAAATGGTCAAATGCAGTGAAGTGTATCAGTTACTGTAAAGCTGTCCGTCATAACCTCGTCCATTCATTCACTGCTGACAGGTCTTAGTGCCGTATTGATCGGGGTTATATTTAATTTCCTCCAGTTTCTCTGTTCTCTCCTGTTTCCCTTCATACTCTCACTCACTGTAATCTATTACTCTTCACTGCGGCAACAAGCTTGTTTGCTCATCGTTGAATCTCCGAGACTCTCCTTTAGTTTTGAATCGTTAGACTCAATCAAGCTAAATTCTTTGTATATTTCCAGATATCGAAATGATTTGAAGTCAAAAGACTGTTTCCTTTGCGTTTACACCAGAATTTCTTAGTTTTCCTGCAGAATAAATAGCAAATCAAGTCATTTTTAAATGACATATTTTATCCGTGCTTTGGTTTTTACTTTAGTCGGAGCGAAGAACAAGTTACTGACTTTTTTCTATGTTTTCTAGCTGAAGGAGAAAAAGCCCTAAAAGTGCGTAACATAACCAAACAAACAATATGATCCAGGTAACGATCCTTTAGAAAACCACTACAGATTTAACTTGCTTAATTCTGCAGTATATAGATTTCATTCATTTCTATTGGCCCTAACTTTGCAGGGCTCAGTGACTGTGGCACAAATTCGTATGCACACACACACACACACACACACACACACACACACACACACACACCGCCTGTCATGTCTGGTGTCTGACATCATTAAGCATAAAGTTAAAGAGTGTCCCAATTAGCTCAGGGCTGTAGAGACACCTCAGTGTTATGATGCGGTGGCTCCCCACTCATTAACCTTTAGAAAGGGGCCAGACACACACACACACACACACACACACACACACACACACACAGTAACCACAGGCAGCTCTGCAGATATGCATGTACTCACATTAACAGAGACATTAATCCCTGAAAGGTGCGGAGGGGTCGAGTACTCATCACAACAAATCATTTTGTTTCAGATCTAGATATTTTATATGTATGCATCGTTGTAAACTGTATAATATCAGTTTGTCTTTGTCAAATAAGAACAAATCATTTCTTTAAATCAACAAGTTGATTAAAAAAAACGTTTGAAGACCAATTAACCAGAGTAAAGTTGTGTTGGTGTAATTACGCGGACTGCAGAAATGCCCAGTTCTTTGTTATCTGCAGATTAGCTGTGTTTCACTGTGGAGTTTGACAAGAATTGGAAAAATGGTCGAGTGGGTTTTCGACTTTCGTGGACCGATGAGCACGAGAGGAGCCGGGAACGGCTTTAAATGGGCTCGTCGACAAGAGTGAAACCCGAGATCCCAGGGAATCCGCTGAGCCAAACTTCTGGCAACATGTCTGTTCAAGATCCCTGACCTCCTGCTGTTTCTCCCACCGAGGAGACACCGAGTTATCACCAGCACCTCCCCGCTGCTCTCATCTTCTCCTCGTTACTTCCTCTACAGTGCTGTGATTTTATTTTATTGACTTCGTCTGATTGGTTGGGATCAAGCGACACTGTAACGTCTTGACTTGAATAAATCATGTGAGGGTCAATGTCCCTTATTCCTGCAACCAGTGAGTCGCCCTCTACAGGTCGTTTGGGAGAATACAGGTTTCAGGCGGTTTCGCAGTGGATTCTGTATCTGCCCTCGTCCCTGTCCGAGATAAATGCTGTAAAACATTCATCATAATCCAAAGTCAGAGGTTGATCGCTGGTAAAACCACGTCTGCTAAAAGGAAGTACAGCACTTTAAAGTGAAATGTCCCTGTAAGGATATCAAGATGACGTTGGACAGTCAAATCCTGAGACAATCACAATTAGGGTAATGACGGCTAGAGGACATCAGCATGGAGATAACAGATGGGACGGAGAGAGGACAGAGAGAGGAGCTCTCAGACACGAGAGGAGACGGAAGATAAAGAAATGTCTGAGTGTCTCGATCTGAAGAACTAGCTGATGTTTTATCCTGAACTGTGTCGTAGTGTTGACTTTACTCCTCTAGTTTCTGGTGCCTCAGACTTTCTTATCTCAAGTGTTGCTTCTGGAGAGAACAGCAGTTCACTCTTGTATTGACCTCTGTGATGCTCTCGCAGTGTATTTGAAGAGCGCCCCCTGCTGGATTTCAAGCCAAGCTAATCTTGAAATTTAACGGACAATTACAGGAGTTGGTTAAGTTTCTGTAGATAATTTGATTTGACTCGTCTGCGCTGTGATTTATCTTCTGCCGTGTCTACAGGTCAAGAAGACGAGGAAACTGATGTGTACGAGCTTTGTCTTGTGACGGGTGTCAACATTCATCCAGCCGAACCCATAAATCATTGTGTTTGGTGTAATTTCCTATATTTTGGTTTGGATGTATTTCACTCCTAATTAACTGGAGGAGCTCCAACACCTGGAATTTTAAATATGTCAGTCTATTTTTTTTATTTTTAAAGTGCATTGTTCTCAGCTGTCCGGTCAAATTAAAGTGGAAATATTCAGGAAGTATTCAGACTCCTGTGTGAACACAAATCACATCTTTTGGCACGATGACAAAAACATACATTTCAATACGTCACTTGTGTGGAGAGAGGATTTCATGGCACCTGACACTGAAATCCAGACACTCTGCCAAATTCTAACACATTTTAGTCAGCGCCCCAAAAAAAAACCCCCATTAGGTTTTGATTCTCAGCCATATTCATGTGTTCAGAAGTGTACACGTTTGCAACTCCCTGCTTTGAAATGACTTTCTAACAGATCCAATCAATCTCCGTGTTAAATCGCCCTTTTTCTGAGCTCATCCCTTTAAATGCTTTCGTGCAACAGACGATAAAACCTCTTTTTTTTATCTCTCTCTTCTTCTCTCACTTTGCCTTCTTCTTCTGAAATGTCATTGTTAGAACGCACAATAAGATCCAGCGGCTTTTCCTTCTGTCTCTGTCGCCCTCCTAATCGCTATTGTGCGGCAGACAATGCAGCAGCCTCTGCTACGCAGCGATGGGATGGCTGACTGTCAGGCCGCACTGCAACACAGACATACACACACACACACAAGCTGGCAATGACATTTCATTTAGAGTCTAAGCGTGTGTGTGTGTGTGTGTGTGTGTCGATGGGTCGTTACAGCGTACGACTTGCTCTGTCTGACCCTGAGGTTTGAGCTTACGTGACATATCATTTAACTCACTGTACACTGAACACAGGTGTGTGTGTGTGTGTGTGTGTGTGTGTGTTCATTGCCTCCCACTGGTAGGTCCTTCTATCTTCTCTCTGGATTCATACCTCGCGCTCTCACACACACATGCCATATTTTGCTCAGAGCTGCAGGAAGTCTCATTAAAACAGAAAACAGGTTTCTCCCACCTAATGAACACGAGTAGAATGAAGCTGTGTGCTATTTTAGATCCGCGCTGCGTGATGGCATCATGTCACATGGATTGAGAACATCCGTGAGTGCTTCTCCGTCTTCATCTTCTTTTAAGAGACACCGAGCCAAGTGCACAGCATGTAGTAAGAAGTATACAGTATATCATCAGGCGGGCTTTGGTGGGGAAACTGTGTTTTTTAAAACATTTCTATAAATAAGGAAATAACTTTTTTCTCAGATGCACGTATTGTATGTAGCAGTAATTTATTTCAGAGGATCGGAACCCTGACGTTTGGACATGTGGGGTTGATACTTGATCTTCTTTAAATCCTGAGCACGGCTGTTTATCAAACGTGTATTTACTTCCTTTAAATATCCAGAAATGAAGCCAAAATAGCTCCGATACAAACTCTGCCATCTTGCAGCGATGAAGTAATTTGGAGCCAGAGTCCGTGCATGTGCTCGATTTAATGAAAACCAACTTGATCAAACATCAGCATGATTAGAAAAACACAAAATGCCAGAAACCGTCTTTGAGAAAACTGTAATTGATGTGTACTTTTACTTTTAAGTTGCTGAGATGGAGGAGGTGGGGTTTATTTAATCTAGAGCTGTCACTCAGAACCCTGCGCTCACATTTAAATAGCCGCTGCTTGTGTGAAACGTCCACTCACGGATTCCTCTTCTGTTTTTGTGCAACAAGTCTGTGAAAACTAATAGAATGAGAGGTGTAGTGTTGACGCCTGGGATAAACTCTGTTCATTCATTATTCAGGAATAATTGTGACTTTTCTTTTAAGGTACGATGGAGAAATGTGTTTGAAGTAAATGGAAATGTGACGTTTATTAGGACACATTTTCTCCACTGTTGCTTGTTGACTCATCACGCTGCTGCCAGTGTGGATGTTCCCTCTGTCAGGTGGACCGCATCATATTAAATCTTATTATCTTCAGGTATGTCTGTCCTCGGTCTCTCTGTCCTTGAGTCCCTTTGAAGCCGACGCATCTCTTTTTGAAAATTGATTTGCTCGTCAGGGACTTGTTTGGACGTCCAGTCTGCAGCGAAACCTCTCCTGCACATCTTGATCATGTTGTCACAGCAGTTTTACAACTTGAGGTTCAGTTCGGTGCTTTATTGTCTCAGGTGGGAAACTTGGCTTCGCAGTCAGGTGGGGACAACAAAACAGTACAACAACAGAAAATATACGCACACGGATGCAAAAGTACAGAAACACACCCACGATGTGTAAGTTACACAAATGATCTTGCTGCAAATGAAACTGTTTAATTGCAAAGGGAATAAATAATGTTTTTACTGCTTTTGCTGCAGCAAAGAGATGTTTTCTGAAGATTAGAGCATGAAAACCTTTTCAAGCTGAATATGTCTCGTTTAATGACTAATTGGTCAAAATGAAGTGTTGTTTTTGTTTAGGCAATTGTCCAGTGAAGTCGGTGGACGCTCTGGTCCATCAGTCGGCTTCACTGTCTTTTTTTTGTTGTGCTTTCGGACTGATCTCGTATCTGAGGACCAGGCAGCGACAGAGGAGCTGATGTGAAAAAGCAGTAAATAAAGGAAGGTGACGGAGAGAGAGTTACACACTCGTCTCCTGCCATGCTGGGCAAAGGGAGTGTGTGTGTGTGTGTGTGTGTGTGTGTGTAGCTTTGTCTGTGAGAGATGAAAAGACAGAGGGAGAGAGAGGGTCCAGATGAAGGGATTATATCTCAACACACTGTCCAAACAATTGTTCCAATTGCTCTGCCTCTAACAATCGCGTTTGGCCTGAGAGTCAACTGCTCAGGGAGCTGTGTGTGTCTGTCTGTGTGTGTCTGTCCATGTCTGTCTGTGTGTGTCTGTGTGTGTGTGTGTGTGTGTGTGTGTGTGTGTGTGGTAAGAATTGTCTATGTTACACAGACACTTTTACATCGTGAAGTGTCCCTGTAGAGGTGAAAAGAGCCGTTTGTGAAAAGAGAATCGCCCAAAGGCCCTCGAGTCCACGGTGTCATTTTCAAATAGAAAAATTCACATTCTGAGTGATCGTTCCTTCAATTCACGAGAGCTTTCTCATTGTTTCTCGACGCTCAGGTTTCCGAACATGTATTCCGAGGGAAATGTTCTTTACATTTGTTGTTTGTGCAGCATCAACAAGCAGCAGGGCTGAAATGACGAGGCGCAGAACGACACCGACTCTGCAGTTGAACTGCAGCAATGTCAGGGTGATCTCTGAAGACGTGTGGTGCTGACAGTAAAGCAGAACTCCCATAATCCTCCAGCTCATGTGGTTAATTTTATTCATTTTGAAGGATATCTAATAAATACCAGGTTTTTGCTGTTTGGCAGCGGACGGGTTTCTGTGGTTTAGTGATGGTGGATGTATTATATTCTACCTGCAGACTCAGTTGATTCGCAGGTCGGGTGGGCAGGGTCGTAAAAATAAACATTTCTGAATATAGCGGATGGGTACGGGTCATCGGAGGACTATTTGCTTTCGTTTGGGGAGAAACAAGGCAGCTCATTCCCACGTCTTCTGAAACGATTCATTCAGCGCAGCCGGGCTATTGAGTGGAGGCTATTTTGGTTTTGTAATGTTCATACGGTTGCGGCTCTCTAAAGTGGAGAAAATAATTCCTTTTGGTGTGCGATGGGCGGATGAGGCAAGCGGAGCCCGTCCTCCAGGTTCCCTCCAGGAAGGGGTTTATAACCTACACTGCGGCCGGCCACCAGGGGGCGATCAAGGTTTAGCCTCACTGTAGGGGAGCAGCCAATGGCGGAGACGCACAAACAGCATTGATACCAGGACAGAGAACGTAGGCGTGTTCGCATGCAGGCTGCTCGGACAGTGAGGAGAGTTCGCAGAAAACCTCATGTGAGCGTTAATGTACCTTTGAGTGAAATGGACCCAACGGAAGCTGCGTTCTGCTTCATCACCCTGTCGAGCGTTCTACTCGAGGAACCGTCGGTTCTCCACTC